TAAATGTGTTCTCTGCATATAGTGCGTGTAAGTGGGTTGCTATGACGACTAGAAATAACGATATGCAGTGTAAATGATACTGAGTATATAACGACGGTGACATTCAGTTTTTCATAGAAATGCGTATTAAAATATGCTAACTAAAGCGAAACATGTCTTGATAAAGTGGGTTGATTCATGAATCTTTTTTATCAAAGAGATACGGAAACCTTTATTTGTTTAGGTTTTAAATTACAACTTGAAATATCTGTTAAGAGCCGAGTCTTCAAGTTTCACTTTGAAACATTGTTTGCATTGCTCTCAGAAGATCTCATTTTAGTTCAAACTTAAAATGAGAATGACATGCTACATGCTCAGCAACATAATTTATATTGTTAAAAAAACACACAAGCTTGCCTTGCCGTGATAGACCGTGATATAAACTTATAAATGTATATATTTAGTGCAAATACAAAGGCCTTTGTTCCAAATTTAACAGTGATTCTATTGATAAGAATGAATTATTTGCTATATGTCGTCTTCTTTATCGGATCAACGAATAAATGGTGATTCATAAAACATTATCGAAACAATATTATTAGAGGCCATTCTTTTATATTCTAGCATGTTTTTTTTATCAATGTGGGGTATGTTTACACACACCAGATTTCAAACAGGATATACTTGAACTATATACCAGTGCAGTTATTTTAATATATGATAAGACAACATGAGTAAATTGCTTTGTTTATGTACGCACACACATCAGTTGAGTATGAATGAGATAAGAAACCAAGAAGAAGTTAAGTATAATTGAAACTTAACGTTTGAGAAAGAATATAGCAATTCGGAACATGTTTTGAGTGCATTGGCCTTTTTTTTCCTGTGACATAACTTTCACGTGAAGGGAAGGATTTGTAGCTTTTGCGTATTTTGTTATCAAAACATTATTTTCAGTGTTTATCAAAAAGCCATCGATGATCTGTGTCAATATTGAAAACAAATATAATGAAAATGATAAATATAAGAAGAAAAAATCTGTATGGACTTCGTAAACAAAGACAATCCGTTTGTTCCATTAAGAAGAAATTAGACAAAAAAAACGTTTGTCTTTTATGTAAAGATATGCAAATAATTGTGAAAGTCCAGTTATCATATATCAGGGAAGACTTTAGTGTCAAACCTTTAGGTCCGCCAGTGTTTGGTTATAAAAATAACAAAAAAACCTACACTCCCTCCCTCATCCCCCGGCTTATAAAAAGGAAGAATAAGTTTAAAAAAGAACAAACGGCTATACGTTGTATCATTTATATAAAATGATAAATACTATTTACAGGTATATAAACCAATATTAATGGCAAGAGCTCCGTTTAAACCGGGCGATGCTCCCCGCATAGATTTTGGACACAACAAAATACACTTGCAGTTTAAGAGTTATGCCCTTGAGAAAGTTTAAAGTGCAATTATTCCAAAATAAGATGAGGCAGAGTTACTGTTCTGTTCTGTTACTGTTACTTGCACTGGACTTCTTAATAATGAGTTCTATCTACCGACTGTGTTTCATGTTGATATTACTTGTAGTTTCACAGGCATATTCCGGACAAACTTCAAAGTGTAAAAATGAACAAAAGGCAATAATTCCAAAAATTGGTAATGCAGAATTATGGTTTTTTTGCACTTCTCATCAGCCCAATGAGATCTATCTACTTACAAAGTTTCTTGTTTATATCTCTTATATTTTTAGAGTTATCTCCTGGACAATTTTCAAAGCGTAGAAATAAACAAAGGCCAATAACTGATAAATTAAGCAAGGCAGAGTTACGGTAATTGTGCACTGCACATCTACCTAATGAAATATATCCACTTATAGTGTCTTGTTCATAGCTCTTATACTTTCAGAGCTATGTTCTGGACCCTGTTCAAAGTGTAAAATTGAACAAAGGCTTATTACTTCAAAACTAAGCAAAACAGAGTTACGGTTCTTGTGCACTGCACATCTACCCAATGAGATCTCTCTACCTACAAAGTGTCTCGTTCATGACTCTGATACTTATACTTATATTTGTCCTGGACAATGTTCAAAGTGTAGAAATCAACAAATGGCAATATCTTCAAAATAAAATAAGGCATTCTTACAGTTCTTTGCACTGCACATCTATTTAATTAGATCTATCGACCTACAAAGTTTCGTGTTGATACCTTTTATTGTTTCAGCCTCTTATTGTTTCAGAGCTTTGTCTCGGACAAAGTTAAAAAAACAAAACAATATGAACAATCGCAATAACTCCAAACAAAGGACATTTATTCCAAAATTAGACAAGGCAGAGTTACGGTTTTGGTTCTTGTACACTGCACATCTTCAAGTTGAGATATACATTTACCTACAAGTTTCATATTGATATATCTTATAGTTTTAGAGTTATGTCTTGGACAAGAATCTTCTAAAATGGGTGATAATTTAAAAACAGGCAAAAACAAAGTTGTGGTTCTTTCACTCTGTACTCCGCATTAATGCCCTTTACCACTGTGTGATGTTTAAATAAATTATCTCCAAGGTCTTCAAGTTTTGATCCGGACAAGCGCAACAGACGGGCAAGGCGGCGACTACTAGTATATGCTCTCACTTCGGGGAGCATACAAACTTTAAACGAGTGTCAAATTCCCTAAACAAACAATCTAACAGGCTTTAAAGAAAAAAAAAACTTTACCTTACATTAAAGATGTACATATATAATATATAACAATTCCATGTACTCAGATCTACATATATAAAAATATATTCAGAAATACGAGTTTATGACATGAACTAAGCCAATTAACAGAGTTAAAGAGGGAAATTGCGTTCTTCACATTATATTAATGACCATCTTGATAAATCGTTAAATCAGAAAGAGTTAAAAAATATCAGAGCACCATTTGATAAGCTCTTTAGAAAAACATTTGACAATAACAATTGTATAAACATAAGTAAAACGCATACATTTCCATTGTACTTAGTATTTCATGTATTGTTTGCTTTAATTATGTTACATGTTTAATGCAATAAATATATTGAATTGAATGTAAATTTTATATTTAAGTTTGATGAAGATGGAAGATAGATTGATAATTTATTATATAATAATCACAACAGAACATACCAACAGATGACGATTGATAAAAAAACCCCAAATTGTTGAGCATTTTTACTTGTAAAAAGGACACAAAATTCTAACTTCTTATTCTTAATAGGAAACAACACGTGTCAGTGGTTTATTATATGAACATAAGTGTGCATCCAACATATGTTGCGTTTCCGGAACAAACCAATTTATTCAAATGTGTACTTTTTCCCAATGTTACAGAGCTGCATGTATATACTTTTGTTCATTTTTGGAAAATGTGAATCACTGCGCGATAAAATTGCAATTTTGTCTACATAAATCAATCATTAATTACTGTCACTTGGAATGATAAAAATGGTCACGTGATTGCTACATTAAACGTTTAAGTTGATCACGCGAAACGTACATGGATGTTTACATACAAAATGCATGTTACATTGATAAATGTTGAACTTTGTTCAGCAAACGCAAGTGTTTTGTTTACTTTACAAAATATCAGGGGTATACGGATGTCATTGAGTTAAAGTAATATATAGAACTAGAACGAATGTCACAGGGGAAATGTGCAACTGTGATTTATTTCTACTAAACAACTTTTAGAACAATACAACCAACAGGGTGGAATGTAAATTAAATACAAATGAAAATATAATTAATTATTTCACTTACCAACTCGGATAAATGTTCCAATTGACATCGAAAACAGATTTCTGTCCCTCCCTTATAACCTCTTACATCACGGAAATACAACACGTCTAGCCATTTACCTCTCGTAACGTTACGTGCAGCTCATTGATAATTACGTAACGTAACGGGTAATACATATTTAACGTCTTGAAGGTGTAAAATCAACGTTATTCAAGTTTATGAAAGTCTCCGTTAAATGTATAGTAAGTTTGTAAGTAAATAGATTATTTATAGTGGCATGTGCATTTCGTAAAAAAACAAACTATATGTCTACAAAGTTAAACAAGCACCCAGCCCCTTGGGCCTATTAGTCAACAGGGCCAACATTTTTAAACTCATTACAGCAAGTAACATGAGATAATTCAGCAGGTTAACAAACGATGTAATGGAAACAAAAAAATGAAATTTGCGCATTGATTGTACATATATACATCTTTCTAAAAACAACAACAAAAAAACAACAAGAAGAAGACAAAAAAAAAACAAAAAAAAAAACTTAACAATCTGATACTTACAAAATACCGAAATACTTGACTTAAAAGAAACTTGAAAAAACTTTAAAAACTTGAGAGTTTATCTTATGATTTTACAAAATAAGTAATTTGAATAAGCTTTCAAGTAAAGTTCGATAATATACATTTATTTTGGTGCCTTGATTCTTCAATTATTTATTTTTTCACAAAAAAACAGAACAAAAACAAAAAAACAAAAACAAAAAAAAAAAAAAAAAAAAAAAAAACAAAAAACAAAAAAAAAAAAAAAAAAAAAACCAATTAAAAAAAAAATAAAAATAAAAAAAATGAGAAGATAAAAGCCTTACGATTGCTTATTATATTAAAGGAATACATTCAGAGATAATTGTTATGGGAATCAACGTAAAAATGACACTTTAACCCCTAACCCCAACCCTGCCTCTATTTTACAAAAAATATCAAAATTGAAAACAAGAGAAGTCACAATTACTAGGATTCATTCGTTCGTTCCTTCATTCATTCATTTATTCTCACTCGCTCACTAACTCACTTACTACATCACTCAATCAACAAACTATCTCAAAGTCCTTATCCTATCTATGTTTGAATAAATAGGGACAAATAGGAACTATTTTGTTTCGCCCTGTTTATAGAACTGCAGTCATACACCAGCGGACAGTCACCTTTAGAGAGTGTGAAACATGTCTTTTGGTAGACAATTTATGATAGCGTTGCAACACAAATGACATCAAATAAACTCCTCTGGAAAAGTCACTTATAAAGCCGGGGTTCAAGCTTTCGTATTTGTTGTCAACAATTACTGTCATTCCGCTGCTGCGTTTTTGGTAAGGCGGACAAAATTCTCTGCCATCACATTTGAAAAAATTGTATCAAAGCCATTTGACGTAACCTGATTTCATACCGATACAATCGAACTTGTCGATAACTGTTGAAATTGTAAATGTTCTTATCGGAAACTAGTTGACGAGCATATCAACCTTGTTTACCAATGGTCTTTTATTTAAGATAAACGGGTATATAAATATATACCTACTCATTTGTTTCTACATTTTCGTCTCAGTAAGTTTTATGCTTTCTTCCGAACAGCATTGAGCAATTATGGATGTTGAACTTACCTGATTTTATTCTTGTGACAAAACTAAGGGAAAATATAGCACGAAAATGACTTTTCACGTGAAGCACGTGTTGATTTGTTTATGCATTATTACGTGGGTTAACAGTGGTAATTTTTCGTCGACGGAGGATCCTACACCACAAGCCACACCAAAAGTACCTACACAAACAACAAACTCTTCAGTTGAAATGTCGACCGCAACGCCATATACAACAACCATCACTGATATACCGAACGGTAAATATTGTTTCTTTTTGTTTTTGCTGAAACATGTATTACATTTTTGCATTATAACGATTTCTTGTGCTTTCAGTTTTGTGAAGATAGCATAATATTATTTGTACGATAATATGTTACGTGAAAAAAATATCAACATAATTTACAACAGGAACACAAGGAAACAAGAATATGGAAAACCACAAGAAAATGAGATTATAATTGTTTCCGTTTTTACTTTTATTCTTTGTTTAACAAATTAATTTATGCTATTATCACTTTGTAAACAACAATAAACAACAAAAGCAAAATCACAAAATCAGTGAAAGACAAAACAACAAAGAAAGACAACATCAATAAAACAACAGAAGGAAACACGCACACACGTACACACAACACACAAACGTTCACACACGCACGCACGCACAAACACATATACAAAGAGAAAAAACTATAACAATAACGTACAGTGATTTACAATAAAAGAATAGTTGGCTTATTTTCGTATCAATACTATTATTAAAACAATTTTGACGGCCAATGTAAACAGTCTTGTTCTGTAACTTGCTGTATTATTAAATCATGTTTACAATATTTTTAAACCATTCGGATAATTTTGCTTATTTTATTTGTTGTTTTGGTCATTTTTGATATTTTATTTTGAACATTTCAGAATTAGAAGACGATGCAATCAATAAAAGTGAACAACAAGACGATACGCAAGGTAAGCAGTGAAAAATGATTCAGTTATGTCGTAAAATATAAAAAATACAAAACAAAATTTCGCACAAGACACACACAATTCATAGTAAGATACAAATTAAAAAATAAAACAATATTTTTAGCAATGATATGTTTTGTCATAATTCTGATTTTACTTGCTTAAACAACAAAAACAGCAACAACAACAACAACAACAACAACCATCACCACCACCACCACCACCAAAAACAAACACACTTAAACGTAGTATAAACCTTAAAATAACAACTTTTCCTTTTTCATGGCAAATTACTAAAACATTTCACCCCTAATATCCCCTATCGTAAGGTATTTGCTAGCACCTCTTTGACAGAGGTGTACTCGTTCAGTCGAATTAGTAATAGAAAGAGCATCGAAACACGAGGCTATCTGATTTGTACGAGGGGTCGGTAGGCTTACAAAACATTTGAATTATTATACTATAATGCACGAAGAATTAATATCTGTTTCCATTCTAACAAAAAAAAAAGATAGTTGGACTATATGTTTGGTGGTTAATTTTTTTTTCGAAAATAGAAACGTTCTTTAAATGCTGTTCCATTCGGTTGAAAAAAAATGTCGTTAGTCTACCGTTTGCAGAAACATTTTGAAAACGTTTATAAAAATTTATGTGTGTTTATTCAATTTCCCTTTATATTTTTCAAGCGAAATACAGAGTATTTATAGTGAAATAAACGTGGAATTTAACTGGTTTGCGGCATTGTTTTGTATGCTTTGCACGCGCTGTTTGGCGACAAATGAATAAAGGCATAATAGGTACTAGTCTACTAGACATGAATATATCATTACTATTTCAATAATACCATACTTTGATTCATCTTAAATATATCAAAGGTTTCATTTAATATTTCATGTCTTTTGCATATGACAAATTGAAAAGATTTTTAATGTTGACCTTGTCAATTATGTTCTAGAAATACAAAATGCATTTATTGTTTTATATTCAGCTAATCTATCTACGACAAGCACTTCAAGTACTACAGCAACAATAACACCACCACCAACACCAGAAGCAAAGACAGTCAACACATCAGCAGGTATCTTTCGTTGGTTTTAATAGATCATCGATCATGTTAAATCTTTCTGTCAAAAAAGTGAATTAAAGTAAAGGTTTGATATATCATTAAGTAACAAATATGTTTCGTTGTGTTATATAACCTTTTACATTATATAAGAACGGCAAAGCGAATTAGTAGCATATTCTATTTAATACTAACTGAAATTTTAGCTTATCTTAAAGGCCCATTATGCTTAAGCAATGCTTCTATTGTTATTCCTGAAAAGCCTTTAATTTTGGTATTCTTTTATAGTTTCCAAAACGTTTCTTATCTGCCAATTACCTGAACTATCTTATGCATCTTTTGCTTTTTGGCAAATTGTACAGTAATGGTGATTTAGTATTTTGTGTGGAAGTCAAAATACCACTTTGTTTACAGTTTTATGTATATGACAAATTATATCACATTTATCTCTACTTTTTCAGTTGCAAGCAATTTACATGCTTAAAAACTATTATTTAAATGTAATAAAATTCATATTTGCACTTTCTAAAGATGTAAAAATTTCTTCGATTCTGAGGCGTAATGTGCTTATAAAAGTGATAAATTAATATATTGCGCAAAATTGTAAAATGAATTAAATCTATTTGATAAACTTATTTTACCAATTTTAAGTTTTGGTAGTGAGGTGTGGGGGTTCTATAATTCAGAAAAAATAGAACTTGTTCACTTACAATTTTGCAAACATTTACTAGGATACTAGGAGTTAGGCCCCAAACACAAAAAAAGTATATTAAAAAGGGATATTGCTTAATGTTGAATGATTTGAATATGCTTCCCCAAAAGAATTCTTTGGTTAAACTTATTAAAGATTTGTTAGAAAATTTAGGTTTTAGTTTTGCATGGTTGTTTCAGGGAGTAGGAAATAAAACTTTATTTTTGAACATTTTAAAAGCAGACTTACCGATGGTTTTATTCAAAATTGGAAAAGTCATCTGCAAAGGGTCATCTACAACAAGAAAATATATTTTATATGAAAATTTTAAATTTCAGCCGTATTAAGGCATTATCAAAAACACGAGATTAAAAATTGCATTATCAAGGCTAAGGGTTTCGGCTCACAGATTAGAAATAGAAACAGGCAGATGGCACAAACCTTAAAAAATCCCATATTCAGATCGTAAATGTTTAATCTGTAAAACATTAGAGGGTGAATTTCACTTTTTACTTGAGTGTCCTCTGTATATTGATTGACGCAAACGATATATAAAAGAATATTTTTTGGAGAAATGCTGATGTATTTAAATTTACTGATCTTTTAAACAATGATAACAAAATCGTTATTCAGAAGTTATCGTTGTATGTCTTAAAACGTTTTTGAACAAATAACACACTATTTGGTCCGAATTATGTAAAATATATAGATATATACATGTGCATGTACACGCATTGATGTATCATGCATATATCGTATTATTGTTGAAATTGTATCCAGAAATTTTCCCCTGTTAAAGTTAAAAATGATATTTGTGAATTAAGATCAGTTAGATATGTATTTTTTCAGGTGACTGCAGATTAGATCAAATTTATGATTACAATTGTTATTTACTGTTTATATACTGTTTGACTGCCATTGTGATGATATTTTATTATGAAATTTAGATATAACAATATTTGTGTATTAATAGTTTTAGCTATATAAGATGATGGACACATATATTAAAAAAATAAGTTGAAAATGTCGCAAAATATTTTTAAAATTATTCCAATAGCGACAAATTAATTTTTTTGCATTTAAAAGTTCTTAAAGGCTTTTCAATTTATAATAGTAAATAACACATGTTGAAAATAATTTATTGTTTTATCTAATTACATGTTGATATAATCTAATCTAGTGAACTGAGACTTTCTAGACGCTTTAATTCAGTATATATTGAAATTAGCAAGAACTAGGAGATCGCCCTAATCTTCAATTGAAAAAAAAATGAATAAGAATAGAGTTTGGATTGACATAAACTATTTATAGTGTTACTTAAATTTCGTAAATTATTTCATTAAGTTTGTCTTTCTGTATTTTGGACTATAGAAGATCGATCTCGTGGAAATAGAAGATTGGAATTTTTTTAGTAGAACTTATGTGTTCTTGTTTGCGGTGCATTGCTTTTAGGTGTTGTAAACTCGTACGACTATTTAAAAATTTGAGGTAGAGACAAGTTGTTGTGCTGGTTACTTTTCTGCTGGCTAAAAGTTGGATTTTAAAACAAACAAACAAACAAACAAACAAACAAAACAAACAAACAAAGCCACACATAAAAAATTTGCACATATATTTAAGTCAATGTAACTTTGCTCAAGTTGGTGTTGGATAGCGTCAACCTTTATTATACACGAGCATGCTCATTAAATAGAGAAATCAATGTTTTTTTATTTATCCTGTCATGGCGAGCCACAATGATCAAACGCTTTGCAAATATGTTTTTAAAAAAATAAGTAATTATAATGACTTCTGCATATCTACTTATTTTTCACCATTCAGATCCCACGTCTAAATCAACCAAAGTGACAAGTGCTACTACACCAAATCCCTCAACTCAAAAACAAGGTAAGGCATATTTTCACCTTTCAAGGATGTAATTTCCGACTACATTTACTGTGGACATCAATGTATTTAAAACTGTCGATCATGATATTTTACTCATGAAACTTGATGCTATGGGGTTTTCTAGTGATGTTATTCACTGGTTTAGGTCTTACTTATCTAGCCGTACACAAATGGTCAATGTCTCCGGTGTACTTTCATCTAGCGCCAATGTAACTTGTGGGGTACCCCAAGGTTCGATCCTTGGCCCTCTCCTATTCTTGATTTATGTTAATGATATGGAGGCTGTGGTTCGTAATAAATTGCTTCTATATGCTGATGACTCAGGTATTTTAGTATCAGGTAAAGATATCCAGTATATTACCTCTCAGCTTACTGATGATCTCAGCAGTGTGAGTAAGTGGCTCACTGATAATAAACTTTCCTTACATCTTGGAAAGACAGAGTCTATTTTATTTGCGTCTAAACCAAGACTTAGGTCATGTGATCAACTAAATATTGTATGTAATGGTACTACAATAACATCCACCAAATCTGTTAAATACTTAGGTGCTGACCTAGATCAATGTCTATCTGGTGAGTCTATAGCCAACCAGGTAATTAAGAAGGCCAATGCAAAACTTAAGTTTTTATATAGAAAAAGTTCATTTTTAAATAGGTATACTAAACAACTTTTAGTTTCTTCATTAATACAATGTCATTTTGATTATGCGTGTGCCTCCTGGTATTTAGGGTTGAGTCAAAATCTAAAAAATAGACTTCAGGCCACACAGAATAAGTTGGTGAGATTTATACTTAATCTCAGTCCCCGTACTCATATAGGGAGGGCTCATTTTGAGGAAGTTGGTTGGTTACCAGTACATCTGAGGGTAAATTTCCTTATTCTTGGTCATGTACATAAGATACATAACAATAGTGCACCTAGTTATTTAAATGAGCATTTTCAAATTGCAAATGAGGTACATTCTTACTCCACCCGATTTAGAGATAGTAACAGTTATTCTATTCCAAGAGTTAAGGGTTTCGGTAAGAAAACATTTGTATTTAATGGTTGTCAGGAATGGAACAGGTTACCAACACATCTTAGGTTCATAGCAAGTCGTGATAATTTTAAAAAATCTCTTATTAATAAGGAACATTTTATGCAATCAATATCTGTTTAGTCATTTTAATCTAGTCATCTTACCTAGTTTTTATTTATATATTTTTTTATGTTTAGTGCATATTTAAGTAGTACCTATTCATTGTCAAACATATCTGTCATAATAATTATGATTATAATACATGTGTGATAAATTTTGTGATGGAAATACTTATGTGCAATAATTGATATAAGAAATTGTGACTGAATAATTTATGTGCAATACTTAATAATTAGTAAATATTTTGCCTTTCTGGTGTCATATGATCAATTCTAAGGACCACAATGGAAATAAGTCGGCTTATGCCTTCTTTTTGTGTCATCCTTGGTATTGAATATATGGCATCAACACATGCACTTTCATGTTTACATGTATCTCTTGATGTTGACATTGAATTTGTAGTTGTTTTATGACATGTATTTTTTACCAGAATAAAACTATCTATCTATCTAAACTGAATAACTCCAGGGGTCGATATATAAGAAAATCATGGTTCGATTTTTTAAAATTGCACAACTTTTACATGACACTAGAATTCTTGACTAACTAGAATAACTAGACGTTATGCTCATATATTCATTATCAAGTTGAGCTGAATTGACTTTATATTTCAAAAGATTGACTGTCAAAATGGTGTTTGACCAACAGTTGATATTGCAAAATGTTTAGGATAACATTATAAATCTGCCTAAAATTTAAAAAGACTGCCACACTCTTTTTATAAACTAAGCGTTATATGTAAATTATAATGGATCTTTACCGAAATTTCATTTGGATCTGTGTGTTATTTATTGTTTATGCGAACTTATTTTTTTAAATTGAAAGGAATTATGGTTATATGAAAACTTATTTTGATCTTCACCCACAGTCACTATTTACCCTTCGATTAGCATAATGTCACTTTAATTTATGACAGCTCTTTTAATAGACTCCAGTGTGTATTTACGGATATATATGATCATTTATTGTTATTATGATCAAGTTTTGAGAAAACCTTACCATAACATCTAATTTGCTACAATATGATTAAACAGCTACTACAATTTGCCATGAAATCTACATTTAAGCAAAGTAAAATGTAATGCCAAATATGCTAAAATATGCTTTATCAAATGAATACGGTATTTAACGCTCAGAGGGAGTTTTACTTGTTGACTTAAAGTTGTTAATTTTTTAAACCATGATGATGATATAATTTATGAAGTTGGTTTTTATCATAATTTTGTCAACATCTGAAGCTTGATACGGACAGTGTAATAAAGTATCGCGGTAACAAAAAGTTATGCGTTTTAACATGAATCTATATTTTTATGTGACATTATGCTCAATAATTTGATTGTCGAGTAATGCGTAATAATATTTACATTTCATAAGACTGACTACTATAATGATCATTGGGCAAAAACTAATAAAAAAAACGGTTAGGATAAAACATAACAGCCTCATAAGTAAAAAGTATGCCCCACTCGTTTTATCAATAGAACATAATATATAATACATATATTCTGAAAGATATTTATAGATTTTTCAGCTAGTCACTTAGGTTATTGATTAGTTTTTTTTGCGAAGCAGAATATGAAATTAAAAACAATTATGGCAAATGTAACGTTTTCCTGGATTATGTGCACTTCTTTCACTAAAATGGACATTATGTTACTTTCTTGGGTGAGCTTGGTGAAATAAATGGAAAGGTGATATATGTTTTATTTGATAGAAGATAATGTTTTATACATGAGTAAAATGAAAATGTAATTTAGTTTAGATTCGACCTTACCGTAATGGGAAGAAATTAAAGTGCGTTGATTAACAAGCATGTTTAAGTTAACTTATCGGTTTTCTTATGTTGATTCATTCAATACTTACGTTTATAAAACATGTTTTATTTTATCTCATACATGTGTATTTCCTTTTAAATATGTGAACACTGTATTCATAAAATCTGTAAAGAGTTATCTATTTTTTATCTGATTCAAAGTATATGTATCGCACATTTATCACTAAAAATTGGTTGCTACGCATGAATAAAATTCTCATACCGACAAAAAACAAACTTATAATTTCAGTTTAAACAAAGAACATTTATTTTTATACAATAAAGTTACAAACATAATATGCATACATAACAATCTTGTCTTGTCTCATGGGAATAAAACCTGAAACTAGAAATGACATAAGAAAAGTTGTTTGAAAAGTAAAATGATGTATTTTATTCTATGATCTAAATGAATACAATATTGGTTTACTTGTATGCATTTGTGAAACTATTGATATCACATCATTTTCATTAATTCCGTCAGCTGATATCTTAAATGAAGTGAAATAAATGTGTAAAGATATACATAAACTACTTGTGGACACTATTAAAAGAGATGACGAATAAATGATTAATATTCAACATTTGGCAATTATTATAACTGCGGACAAATGATGTTTAATGATATCATAAGGCTAAACTAAGCGTACCAGACAGTTTTGATTGACACAAGATGTTGAAATTCATTAGTGGTATGACAAAAAATCACTTGTTTTCCATGTCATATGACATCTTAATATCTTAAATAGAACAACTACAGAAACAACAACAATACGACCCTGGGTGTTTTCTACTGTTACAGTTACCGATATGTCAGTCGGAACAGTTCTAGAAGAATGTAAGAGGTTTACTAAAACGATATGAGGTCGCATGTACTGTGCACTCTTTTGCTAATGATACCACGCAAAAAGTTAAAATAATTATTTAGGGGAAAATGAATTATATCGTTCTAACAACAACACAACGTTTCTAGAACAATGTACTCAGCATTGGTTTAGGGCTGTCATAGCAACTAAATCTAAGGTTTCTGATGAAACGATAAACACCCTGCAAAACATTCTGAAAAATAATAGCAGTTACATGTATAGTCCACTTGCGCTTATATAAGAAAACGAGGAACACACTGTGTAAGGTATATAATTACAATAAATATCTTTAAAATAACCTACCATAATAAAATATCAGACTCCTAACACAGAACTCCCCGTCATTTGTATCATATCAACCTGTTTGATTAACAAATCTTATCGTTCCAGAGTTTTGGGCACCAAACAACACAAAAATGATAAACAAAAGTCCAATCAGAGCTAGAACTGAAATATAAAATAAGAACATATGAACAGTACATATGTCTGTCGATTAAATACGATATCTTAATAACAAATTGCGTCTTACTACCTAAGCCGGTCCTGTACTTGATGTTATAACGAATGTGTGCCAACGTAGTACTGATTATCATATATGCCACAATATATCTTAGTCACGCATATTCTGTTATTTCTAAAGATTCTTTTGGGATATTTTTGACAGAACGGGACTGATATTTTTTTCTAGAATTTACAGCCATTTATAAACGATATATCGTAGTTCTGGACTAATTCTGGCACCGTAGTACGGGTATGCTGAATAGTAGTTACACAACACAGTCTGTAGTCCTAGCAGACACAGCGGACTGATTACTGACACCACAGATAACTTCATTGTGACGTCCTGACATAATATAAGATAATTTAGTAAAATTAAATGAATGCTTCAAACTATAATAATAATTCATTACTGAATCCCTACATAATTAATATTATCTATGCATTGACAGATATTCGTAGAACAATCCACCATGGCAGGGAGTGCTTCAAAAACAGCGTGCATGTGCCGCAAAAACACAATTGCACATAAGTAATATCCTATAGCAGTTCATTAACAAAGTTTGAAACTCATGTTATAAACTGCTTTTGTTGATATTGGCAAATATATCAACACTTCGTGAATTATATATAAACTGCATGCATTGACAAAAACTGACTAAGAAATCATCACGACATGATTGTATCATTATAAAAACCGCACATTGCATGGAATAGGTATTTCACAGCGGCTTATTTTTAATGTCATTTTTGCATTATCAGCTGTTAAATTACATCTTTAACAAACAACTAAATGCAAACACGTTTTATAAAATAGTGTGTCATACATAATTGGTTTGCTTAATGTATGTAACTGGAATAATGGTAAATCTAATTGTGTGTTTCTTTTTTATGTTTTAATCTTGTAAATTATATTTCATCCAAAAATGTGTATAATTTGTTAACTTTGATAAAAGTTAAAGCAAACATCAATAACTTGATGATCATGAAGCTATTTAGTTCTAGAAAGAAAAGAAAAATAAACAAACAACAAGAGCAGGAGCAGAAACAACAGAAAATAACAGATATCAATAATATCGCAATGTTAATTTAAATGACATGCTGCGTTAAAGTTAAGCTTATTGATTTCACTTCTTACATCTACTAAATTTCTTTAGAGTAAACACGTAACTCTTTTACAAAATTTTTAATGTCCGAAAGAGTTAAGACAAATACACACAATTTTTCTATTAAAGAATAGCACAGCGAATTAGGACACACTGTAATTTCCTTCAACGCTTTTGATATACACATGATATAACAAACGGGCAAATATATAAATATTTAGTTTTATTATAATCTATAAATCCAAATATTTCTGTAAATCTTGTATGCAAATATCCACTAGATTGGTTCAAAATAAAGATAAAAATAAATCCTAGAAAATATATACAAACCTCTGTTCTATGTGACCTGCGCGCCGCAAGTGAACAGAATATTCAAATTATCACAACATATAGCCATTTGCGGAAGCTGACAACACCTGAATACCTTAAGGTCAATAAATCTATCAATCTAATTTGAATGGTAACCTTTCGGCATGATTTATATTATCATTATTAATCATTTATCATTATCATTATCGTTAATAAAAATACACATTATTTATTTTATATGTGGTCATAATCTAATGCTTTAACACATTAAGTAGTAACATAATGACAATGAAACTTTGGCGGTCGCCCAACAAATAATAAAAAAACCAGTGTCAGCCTCAGTTATATTTAACATGTATGTTTTTTTGATTGGGTTTTACGTCACACCGACACAGTATAGGTCATATCGCGACGTTCCATCTTTACAGGTGGAGGAAGACCTCAGGTGCCCTTCCGTGTATTATTTCAAACACGAACATGTTTATTAACAACAAATAAAT